AGGGTCCATGACTCACTCTTTGCCACAAATCCTGCGATTGAGCTCTCCTGAGATCGTGCCAAAGTCCTCCAACTCGGTTTTCTTTCTGCTTCCCACTTCGTCTCTTGTCTTCAGTGAGTCTCCCTTCTTTAGCTTTTTCTTGTTTTCCAGTTATGTCGAGTTCTAGCATAGATAGGCTTATAGATAGTGTTAGCGAGGAGGGTGCCATTGTTCCTGTCGGGGAAACCAGCCCACGACAGGGTGCCTTCCTTCATCGGTCTACGGAGGGAATCTCTGACCCCGAAGCTGGGCTACCTCGGCTCGGGGAGACCGAAATCCAGGAATAGGGGCCCGTCCTCCAGGTTAGAGGCCCTGGCTTCTTCTCGAGGTCGGGAGCCTGACGACTTCGGGCCTTCCAAACTGTCTTTGGATAGATTATTGTACTTGGTGTCCTGGTATCGCTTTCCTGACAACTTAACCTTTAGTCTTCCACTAGGCCAGTATCCCTGGGATCATGACCACAGCGAGCTCGTTGTTTTTGAGGAGCAGCTCGCAGTAGGGCTGCACTTTCCTCTTCACCCCTTTTGATAGAAGTTAAGTTCTACAACATCACCATTGACCAGCTTCATCCGAACTCTATTCGGAACATAGTTGGCACCATTTCTTTGTTCCACGCCTATAACCGACCCTTATCCCTTGACATCTTTAGCTCGATCTGTGTGATCAACTGAAATTCGGCCTGTCTACGCAGGGACGTACGACAGATCTATTACATCTCCCCTAGGCCCGGATTTAAAATCCTGTCCGGCTACCCGAACAAGGTTCCGGCCTGGAAAAGGTGGTACCTCATCATCCGTAACCCGGAAGGGTGGTCTTTCCCAACCCATTGGAGGGTGGCTACTCAGGACCCCGAGGTGATCTTGGACACGGAGACCAGGGCGGTGATAAACTCCTGAAGGGGCCTCGGCCTCGAGATGAAGAGCTTCTTGGCCGAGGAGGCACTGGTGCGAGTTGGTTTGAGTCCTCCTGGTAGGTTTCCTTTCAGATACTTGCTCAAAGCTCCTTTTAAGCTTTTGGACTGTCTGTTTTTTGCAGCTACGATGCCAGAGGTTGACGCAAGAAGCCTTTTGATGAGCTCCCGGAAGGGAAAAAAGTGAAAGAAGGTGAAGAGACCCCGTCAAGAAGAGACTTCGACGTTTGGGGCAGCCGAGGTCCAGGCCGCTGAGCCGATTTCCACCGAGCTTCCAAGGGAAGAGGCCCAACCCGCAAACCCCGAGATGGTCGTAATGGAGGAATGCGAGGAGGAGGCCCATCCTTAGAAGCCAGAAGATACCCCTGTGCCAGTAAGGCCTGTTGTCGAGCCAGAGCTCGCTCCTGTTACCGGGGAGGAAAGCATCATGAACCACGTGCTCGCGGTGCGAAAGAGTCGGGACGCGATCTGTTAGAACGAGGTCACACGGTGGGATGAGATGCTTCCGAGATGGCTCCTGGGAATAGCTGCCAGTCACTGCATGGTGGTGAGTATTCTGCCCTTGGCCTCACTTTTTCTTTCTTCTCTCCCTTTTCTTTTCTTTTTTTTTTTTTACTTACCTCGATCCTCTTTTAATAGGTGAACTCCGTTCTTCATGCGTTGGCTTGCCAGTCTGCAATCCAATCGAAGGTGCCCATGCCGAGGAGGCGACTGGGACTTATATTGTGACAAGTTTGTCAATTCGGTACCTCAGCCCTTAGGCCTTGGGGGCGACTTGTTGTCCACCCTTCTTGATTTTTCCCATACCGAAGAGGTGACTGGAACTTGTACAATGTCGAGATCTTTTAGCAGCTCAGCACTTTTAGTCCTTAGACTTCTGAGAGTGACTTACGGTCCGCTCTCCAGTTAGGCGATTTACAAATAGTACCGCCTCAGGTTGTTGACGTTCCACGCCCGGGGCACCTGTTTCCCTTCTAGGGTTTCAAGCTCGTACGTACCTTCCCTGAGCACCCGCTTTACTCGGTAGGGGCCTTCCCAATTCGATCCAAGCTTACCGACCCCGAGCTCAGGCACCATGACTTTACGAAGCACTAGGTCTCCAACGCGGAAGTTTCGCTTCTTGACCCTGGCGTTATAGTACCGAGCCACTCACTGTTGGTAGGCCGCAGTCCGGATGTATGCGAGATCCCGTACCTCTTCAACTAGGTCGAGGTTGGTGCGCAGCTCGTCATCATTTGCCTCTTCATTGTACGCCTCCAAGCGTAACGTAGGCACCTCGATCTCGGCTGGGATCACTGCTTCCGTGCCTTAGGTGAGGTTGAAGGGTGTTTCACTCGTGGCGGTCTTCACAGTGGTTCGATAAGCACACAGTACACCAGGCAGCTCGTCTACCCATAAACCTTTAGCTCGGGCTAGGCGTGCTTTCAGTCCGTAGAGGATCGCCCTGTTCGTGACTTCAGCTTGCCCATTTGCTTGGGGGTGTGCCACCGAGGTGAAACTCTGTTGTACCCCCATCAGACTGCACCAATTTTGAAACTTGATGTTTTCAAATTGTTTGTCGTTGTCAGAGAAGAGGTCGCTCCTGTTGCACAAGCAGAGCCGAGCTGGATTGATCCGCTCGCGAGCTACCTGCTTCACGGGACCCTCCCTGCAATTCGTAACGCAGCTAGAAGGGTAGAGCGACAGGCGGCCAAATACGTCATAATAGACGGACGGCTGTACCAAAAATCCTACACGCTCCCCTATTTGCGCTGCTTACGACCCTCAGAAGCTGAGCTCGTTCTCTATGACACTCATGAAGGTTTGTGTGGCAGGCACTTGGGGGGTAGGGCTCTCGCCCATAAAGCATTACAACAGGGTTACTATTGGCCAACAATGAATGCGGATGCGCTCGATCTCGTCAAAAGATGCAACAAGTGTCAGAGGCATGCCAACGTCCATCACTAGCCTACTGTTGACCTGAAGTATCTCACTAGCCCGTGGCTTTTAACCACATGGTCGTGGGTTTGATTCCCATAGACGGCGCCAAATGATGGTGTGCAATCTGACTGCTCCTACCTGGAGGTGACTTGACTTCCAATAGTAAGTAATAGTTGCGTGTACCCCTGCCCTTGAAAGGTTGGGGACTTTATATACTGGAGTCCTCGTGGGTTATTCGGAGTGGTTCTGGGATTCTTGCCGTGATGAGGCCTGTTACCGAATTAATAGGAGATAACGGCGCCAGCCGATAAGGCATATCGCTACCGTCCGAATCAGTCGGAGGAGATAAGGCTAGCTACTACGAGGCGTGATCCTATGAAACGTGGAATCCAGTGACGAGATCTTCGGGGTTATCACGTGGAGGTTGGTCGATAGTACCCGAACTGATGCCCCCTGGGTCCGATCTGGTACGAACGCCGAGGTGCCTAGTAACCAAATTGATCTTGACGCAATCGTGCCCCGAAGTGAACCTGTCCCGAGGTGGTTCGGTTATCCGAGCTTGATCCATTTCAAACTTGGGTACGTCAGGATGAGCTGTCGTTCTATCGGGTAGGTGGGTTTGTCCAAGGTGGTTCGGTTATCCGAGCTTAATCCGTTTCAGACTTGGGTACATCGGGATGAGCTATTGTTCTGTTAGGTAGGTCGTGTCCACGTGTCCCTCTATTACTAGGTCGGGCCAAATCACCCTACATCACAGACCATCTCCTACCCAAGTCTCTTAATGCCTTTCATCTCCCCTCTAAGAAGTATAGAGGAAAACAAAAAGAAAGTGATAAAAGAAGAGCCACCCAAATGGGGCTGTCAATGAATTAGATACTGATCCAATCCGATCCGGTCCAGTATGAGTCCATTATAGATGGACCAGGCCCAATCCAATAAATACTTCGGACCATTCTGGACTGGCTCAATTCAATGTTTGGTCTGTCCAGACTGTTTAAATTGGGTCCAACCCAAACTTAGATCCGTTGATTCATTGACTGATTGACACCCATTCTCTTTTTATGTCAATAGACCGGATATTGGTTCAATCCAATCCAATCCAATATAAATTTATTACAAATGGATGAGGCCCAATCCAATCCAATAAACACTTTGGACCATTAAGTCTGGACTAATCACATTCAATGTCTTATTGGTACCTCCAATCTGTTCAAATTGATTTTGATTCAGACACGTCCAAACCCAAACCTGGTCCATTGAAACCCCTAAACCCAAAGATTAGTTACCTTTTGGAAGCCAAACATACTAATCACAGAGTGCGAGGCTTCATTTTAACTGGAAGCCTGGAACTCATCTGTATTTCAGTATTTCCCCCTGCTTTTTCTATTTTGTTTTTCTGGGCATGAGCTAGAGTCAGAAACCGACAACCATTGGCAACTGGTTCCCGTACTGAAGAGATGGATTGAGTGGATCCGAGGTACAATAAGAGAGGGTAAAGAGATACAAAGGAGATAAAGAGGTTGATGAAGTCATAAAACATGAAACAATAGGCACAATTCTCTGCTGCAGATGGCCTATTTTCAGTCCTCGATCAAAATGTACACAGACAATGACTAGTTGGGACAGTGATGGGAGAGCTTTGTTGGTAGCAGATCCATGCAGAAGAGAGGCAGCTTTGAAGGGGATTAACAGTGCCAGCGACTTCCAACCAAAAAAAAAAAAACAGTGCCAGCGACTCAGTGAGTTCAAACACAGACAATTTGACGAGATGATCTGTCGGGTGATACACTCGTACCAAATGGTTGTCACAATCTAGTCTAGTTGGAACATCACTAGCTGGCAATCAGATCTGCTGCCCACAGAGAGCGCCCTGCGTCCCACAGCCCATCCCCTCCGTGCACTGAGAACATCTCTTGAGGAGCATAAGCATAGTCAGTGACATCATCTCTGCAAGAGGAAGAGGTTGTACCTGTAAGTACGTCCTGTAACCTGATGCTGATGGAATTCCGGCCAAAGAAGAGAGTGAATGCCATGAGACAGACGTAACTCTGGCAGAAGAACAGGCCATACATACACTGATAAACCCTGCAGGAATTCCGACGGAAGAAAGTGGTACGACGATGGATGGAGATGAGAGTTATTGCAGGTTTAAACAATTGTCTTGGACATTACATGAACGTCCAACGAGCTCTAACTATATGGTCTATAAATGTATTTAAATCGTTTGGAGTCTCCCAAAAGCCCATCCTCCGTCAATAAATTATAAAACAACTCTAATTTCATGAAACCATACTCAACTCTATTTACAAGAGAAATTTTGACACCAAAAAACAGAAAAAAAAAAGTATCTAATCGAACTAAATATCTGCCGGATTTCTTTCACTTTCTCCTAGTAACCACCGTTTATGGAGGGTAATTGCTGGTACAACAAACAATTAAACGAGTACTTATTAATTGTAGCCTGACAGCACCGCTGACGCAGCTCTCTTCAATGACTCGGATGCCTTGAGCAGATCCTCCTCTGAGTGACCAGCTGATACGAACAATCTGATGCCCGCAGGAAGCCTGCACTTATCAAGTGTCGACCTTTTGGAAGCCACTACGAACACCGAGTCTTCTCTCAACATCTGCAAATGAAAGGCTTTCAGGAGAAGAGAATAATAACATGATGTGGAATTATTCAAGTGTAAAAGTAAAACATATGGCTTCCCAACTCCCATTTTTGACTTACACGATCCGCAATATCTTCAAACAGTTGCAAATCATTCTTGAAGGAACCAGTTGACTTCTTTAGTTTGAGAAACACAAGGGGCGACAATGGATTACTAGCAATTGAAAGACCCTGTGTTCCTGATAGGCCTGCAATTGTCGAGATACAGAACCACAGAGTACTGAGAATTATGAATGGTTAACAAACAGAATAAAATTGCAGCAACATCAGCGAAAGGGTGCCCCAAGCATCTGTTATATTATTAATTATAGTATTATCAACAAGATCTCCCTGTACTCTGTACTCTGTACTCTGAAGAGTAGTTCAAATGAATTTGAAAGGAAATAGAAAAAGCCTTGGCAAATAATAGCAAAGCCAAATATTATGGCTTTGATTGGGCATTTAGTAGTGCATTAAGAAAAAGATGTACCAAATGAACAGATGAAACTAATACCCTAATGATGAGACCGAATAGCAAGTCTCACAAGGATACATGACCATGGAATTTCAAGGCCCTTCAAAACACAGCATAACTTAGCAGCCACATCTCACAAACAAAAAGAACAAACCTCTCCATAATATGGCAATGTTCTCCTTCAGCCTTGTAATCAGATCAGGATTTTCCTCCAAGAGGTCGATAGCAGTAATTGCAGCACTTGCAAGATAAGGAGGCAAAGATGCAGAGAAAACGTATCCAGAGCCACTGAGACGCTGCCAAAGAGAAGAAAAAATACAATAAAAATCCCCAGGATGGCACTAGGGAAAAAAATTGTTGACAAAAATCAGCTTCTAACATATTGAAAAGCGTTATCCAGCTAGCATGTTCATACTTGGTGATCAGCAACTCTAACACTTCCAGTGCAGAATCCTCCCTCTGTAGCTAATGCATTCCCCATTGCAGCAGTAATAATATCAATTTTCTCAACCTGAATTGATGCAAAACCTTAAGAAACATGAACAGAAATAAGTGAGCAGTAAAACTAGAGTCCACATACCGGAACCCCACAATGTTCGGTGAGACCTCTTCCAGAAGCCCCAAGCACACCAAATGAATTGGTTTCATCCAACAAAACTCGGAAGTGATACTTCTCTTTCAACCTAATGATCACATCCAGGGGAACTATTTGGCCAGAATTCTGCAATTATCAGAACATTAATGTCAGTAGCTCACAGGCAATGTTTAACAGAAGAAATAATTAAACATTATATAACTGAAATATAGCTCAAGATGCAATAGATTCGTTAATCCGATTGGATTGCATGGAGAACCAAATAGAATTTCCATTAGAAATCAGCAAACTCAAAAGCTAATAAAAGATTCTTTAAAAGACAGTTAAAATTATAAAATTATTTTTTGTAGGGATTGGGAATTTAAGACCCCAATATGGACTTATTTGGGTTTCCCTCGAGGAGCTTGGTAGAAAGGCAGCTCATAGAATCAGGCATGTATAATGTTTAACATCACATTAGCTATTTAAAATAGTTCAATTGGGAAAAGAATAAAGGGATTGAGAGTTTTACATGCTTGAATATGTTTTATATGTTATGTTTGATTTTATTTTTAAGTTTTCATTTTAAATATGTTTGGCATGTTATGTTTATGTAATTTTAATTTGAGATAATACGTTTTTCTAAAGCATTTATTTTAAAACTTAAGTTTACATTTTCAATTAATATTGTGTTCACTTTTTTAATTTCTTTTTCGAATTTTTGGCATTTTTTCCACATTTTGCACCTTTCTTCAAAAAGGTGCAAAATCATTTTTGACAGTACTTTAGCCCATTGACCCTCTGAGAAGTAAAAAACAAATATTTAAATCTACAGTAATCAACCCAATTAATAAGACAAGCAAAAATTATGAAGTTGAAGATTTTTAATATCTTACATGAGTAAGAGTTTTTTATCTACTGATTGAATTACTCAACATGTCTAGGCACACTCTAAACAGCAGCTAAGGTGACTTTGGGCCCCACTTCTGGTTCTCACCAATTTTTCTCCCATGAGCCTATTGCAAGATGGAATGAAGCTAGAACACTTTATCAGGCTCTTTCTTCCTTTCAAATCTATTAACTTATTATTTTAGATTCCCCATTTTCTAGACAAGTCAACCCTGTATATGGAAGAAAGCTGTTTCCATTCCCTCTTAACCACCTGAATCCAAACTTTAGCAAGCATGCAGGCCAAGTTTAATAACCCTTTCACATCATTTCAACCCTAACTTTTATTAAATTCCACCTTGGTTCAACATTTCAGCACAATTCATTAGCTGTGTATATTTTGATCTTAAAAACCCACCTCAAATGTTTCAACCAAAACCTTGCCCTAAATTCCCAAACCTTTGAGCCTAGGTTCTGGCTGTGGTTTCATGTACATAGACTCCCTAACTTGATATCCTAATTACATGAAATTATTTCCCAAACTTCAGCATCACAACACAAAACTGCGAAGTACTACTAATTCAGAGCACTGGAAATTTCAAGAAAAGGTATTCCTGCCTCATTCTTAACTTACATTGCTTTATGGTTACTTAAAAACCAAGATATTTCTCTCCAGTGGTTCAAAAACTCACATCCCCAATACAGCAGGCATATCCAGGCATGCAACAATTCTTCACAGACAAATTAAATTAAAGGAGAACAAACCATCTATGTAAGAAAAAGGTGGTAAGTATTTAGTATTTACTTGTACAGAGAACATATAAAGGAGAAACTCGAAGAGGAAAATAGCACCTTAATCAAAGAATGAAATATGTAACAAAATATACCTGGTATATAGCTTCAACCACAATGTAACGCCGCACATTCTTTGCTCGTTTATTTTCACGTGTAATTTTCTCCAAGGTACTTTCCAGAGATTCCATATCATTATGCTTGAAATACACAATGGTACTTCTGGAAAGCTGTAGGCCATTTTGTATTGCCCAGTGGACACCTTCATCCCTGGAAAAGCAGCTTTGAATCAAGGCCAGGAACTTTAAATTTCAAAAATCAAACTGTTTCTTAGGTAGGAGATATAATGTCCCTAACATTCTTGAGGACCTCATACAAAAAACCATACCAAGAAGAAAAGAAAAGGAGATTCCACGAGAAAATAGTTATGTTGGTTACTGAATTTTAGATCATTAACTTAGATAACCCAATACAAGAATGTTTGTTGCAAATGAAACTCAGTTACAGAAAAGAAAGCGGATACGACATTGGCCAAACACCAGGACGAAGACCATCTTTACAAAATAAGAAAAACCTATAAACATAGACCAAGACATGATAGGACAAAGAATATAAGATTCATAGGTTTATACTATAGCTATTTCACAGCAGAAGAGCAGGTTTCTCTTTTCCTTTTATTGATTCACAATCAAAAAAACAAACTGTACTAAGATGCAAAACTGAGTCTGATGGTCATTATGGTGCCCCAGACTACCAAAAAAAAAAATGCATTATTTATCACAGATTGTTGGCATCCCCATAAAACATGTCATTGCCAAAATACTTATTTATAAGCCATTTTCACAGAGAAACTATTAAATGACAGATGAAACTGTACTTACACAACAATTATGTCTCCCTTTTTACAGAAGGCGGGAATAGCACTGAACATGGTAGAAATTCCATAAGAATAGAGGATTGAATCAGGAGTTCCCAAAAATTTTGCAATCCTAGTTTCGCAATCAAGATGAACATCTGGATTGGGCACAATTTATTAGAAGGAATGTGATTGATAATGATATCAACTCTTATGATATAGTTCTGTAAAGACCAACCATCATAGAGAAACTTGCCAGGAACTTATATCAATGATTAAGAAATATTGTCTTACCAATTGTTCCATAGAAATTACGAGGACCACAAGAACCAACACCATATTTCTCAAGTGCTCCAGTACACGATTCCTGGAATTTAAATGAACTATAAATGCTTTACTCAAGTGAAAACAAAAAGGAAATCTAAGCAAAACAACAAGAATAAGTTTTCCTCACAAGTAACTTTTTGTGTCCTATTAGCCCAAGGTAGTTCGCTGCAGAAAAATTCACAACTTCCTTGCCATTGACTACTGTATGAGGCCGTGCAGCACTGCAAGAAATAACAAGTCATGAGCAGGAATACATAACATGAGTTGGTGTCCAACTACACATGGAAGTTGGTTTAATGTTGGCATAATATCACAAGATCAGTTAATGGTCTATAACTGCAAATTGGGATAAGAGATCAAAAATCATAATTTTTCCGGTTCAATTAATCAATGAACTATAACTGCAAATTGGAACAACGAACATAGAATGCACGCAGAAAAACAGAAAAATAACTACTCAGACTCACCTTTCCAGTATTGGTGGTTCATATTTCATTTCTTCAGTAATAGGAGGAATAAGAGGTTCTGGAACCCACTCTTCACAAAGTTCATCTATTTCCTACAGAACCCACAACCACAAGCCCTTTTCACCAATTGTTGAAAAGAAATCTAAAACTCTTTATGAACCTAATAAATAAAGATGTTACATCCAACACAAATTTTAGTATAAACAATATGAAAAAAAGAAAGAGACTAGAAAATTTCAAAAAGAAAAAGAATAACAAGAAAAAATCCACGTAATCAGATAGATAAATACACTTTGATCGATAAATAAATGAACAAAAAAAATAGCTACCAGACATAAGAAGCAGAAAAATAGAGGTACATCAATTTGTTCTTTGTTCTCCAACACAAACATAAAGGGTCATTACCCAATGATGGTCCAGACTATTCAAATGTAGCCTTGGGAGGGGTAGACTAGATATGGACTGAACCTTTGGCAGATTTTTTGCACAAAGCGGCCACTCCCATTCTTGAACCCACATTCTCAGGTCATTCCAAGATTATCTCATTGCACCATGCAATGTCCCATCCCAGCACAAATATATATAAATGGTAGATTTGTAAAAGGCTAATTTAGAAATTTATAAAGCTCTCTGATTCAATACTGACATTTGACAACAAAAAAAAACAAAAAAGAAAAACAAGTTAGGCAACAATAAGTCGAAGTTGTGTCACTACATATTTCTTTTATCAGATCAGAAAAGATTTTTGTGCAAATACTTGGTTCAGTATACATTTAGAAGTTTTTTTTATAGGAAATGGTAACTTTCATTAAGCTTGAAAATAAGAAAACTACAACTGTCACCTTCCAAAATAAGGAGATCCCTCAATCCTTCATTACATAATCAATTTACAAGCATGCCCAAAATAAAGTATCCCTATAAACCCCTTGATTTGCTAAAGCATCAGCCGAACCATTTGCTGACCTCCTAGTCCAATTAAACTGTGCCCCAAGCTCCCTTGTCAGGTTCATTATTTCCCTTACATGTCTAAGGGACCAAGTGCCCAAATCATTTGTTTGCATCCAACCTAATGACCTATGACCAATTTTGAATCGCCCTCCACTTCTAACTGTTGAAATCCCAACTGTTTAGCCAGTCTGAGCCCTTGAAGGAGCGCCATTACTTCTGCTCTTAGTGAATCACCGACCCCTATTGGGCTAGAGAAAAGGGCCAAGACTCGTCCTTCCACATCTCAAAAAACACCCCCAATGCCAGAGAGACTAGGGTTGCCTATAGAGCTGCCATCAAAATTCAATTTCACGCTATGCTGTAAAGGAGGGGACCAATCCTCTTGAATGGTAGGAGAACTGGAGGAACCCGCTACTGTGTTCCATCCTCTAAGCAAGTCATCTACAGAAAAATCCTTGAAGAGATCCATAGTTTTCAACCAATGTATAGCCTCGATGGTGATCCCTTCTATAAGTTCAAGTTATGTTTTTTCTTGCCCTTGGAAAATCCTGTTAGAGGATGGAGATCCCTTCTATACATTTAGTGAGGTTTAATGAAACAGAAACACTTATAAAATGAGTAGCACGAAAGTGCTTAAAATTGTATAGGGGTTTTTCTGTTTTAATCGTGATCCAGTCCCCCAGCTTATAGGAGCCAGTTTCTTTCTTTTCTCTTGCATCCTTGTCTTCTCCTTACCATCCCAATGAAAAAATGCTCAAAAATTAAGATGATAATGATTATGATTAGGTAAAAGGCATTCAACAAAACCCAATGAGAAAATGCTCAAAGTTTGTTAACTGGCAAGGTGGCACCCTTAATACACCTTCCCATAAGAGAAAATAAGTATATCCAAATTTAAAAATTATCCTTAGTTAGATACTTCAAATATTTTAGAATGATAGAATAAGAGCATTCTATCTCCTTCAGAAGGTGACAATGTCCGGTTAAATCAATCCAATAATTTGTGGAACTGTTTTATTTATTTTAAGTTTCAAAAGAAAAAAAAGGATAGATGAAAGTCTTTTCTTTACTTAACCCTTAGGTATGAAACTTCTTTTAAAATAAAAGCCCTGAACATAAACAGTCGTAAGTTTAGTTAGTCCTTGGTTGTTATAGCTCTATTCCCTCATATTGCCAGATAAAATCTAAGAATCTAATCCCAATCATTAAAATTTATGGTTCCAAATTAACTAAGAAATACCCATTAATGCATTAAATTACTAAAACAATTTATTAAATGTTTTTCTGAAATTTGAAATTATGTTTTCATAAAAGCTGGAGTCTAATAAAGCCAATACCAATTCAAATATTACCATTGTGTTTATGTGTTCTAAAAGCATGTAGACTCAATAACATCTTTATTGGAGGACAAGTGTCCCAACTCCCAATTCCCAATTGACAAAAGCAACTAGTCCACACCATAAATATACAAAGTAAATAACATCATAGTAACAGAGGAGAGATTTTTTTTTTATTTTGTTATGGTTATTATAAACTGATGGGATCGACAGGTAAGATAGCAGAGGCTACCTAGGGATTAGGGATAAAAGGTGTGCTTGGCACATCTTCCTTGTATATATATATCTACCATATTTTATCACAAATTAATAGAAGTGTAAAGTTACCAATCAAATATATGTGTGTGTACACATGTAAAGCAAGATAAATTTACCATTCTTTTTTAATCTTACAGCTGAGGGTGGGCTTTGGTGCAATGGTTGGGTTGTTCGATTGCGACCTGGGTGACCAGGGTTTAAGTCTTGGCAACAGCCTCTCTGCATGGGGTAAGGCTGCGTACATCTGTCCCTCTGCCCTTTTTATCTTACAGGCTACAACTAGCTTTTTTTGTGTGCATTGTTTGCTGAAGGTATCTTTAGAAAAGTGGTAAAATGGAAAAGTTATGTTGTGGAAGAAAAAGGATATCATATTCAAAGCTACACTGGACTATGGATAACATCAGATTGAAACCAAAAAGAACCATATCAAGCATTGTTGTCAAGGCAACGCCTAGGCAACAAGGCGCCCTTTGAGGCTCGCCTCGCCTAATTGCCAAGAAGTTTTGTACTATGTATTATAAAATACTTTTTTATTCTATTTTTTGACATTATAATTATAAAATAGGCACTATTAAACTAAAATATTCATTTTGTGTGTTTATATACTAATTTCTTTTTATTATTTTCTTATTTGTTAGGGTTTAATCAATAACATTGTTAAATGCTGTATTGAACCCTCAAAGACTTTAAAACCTGAACCAATAAGGAAGAACTGTGATAAACCTGAACCAATAACCAAGGGCAGAGTTTCTAGCTGCAGCATATGGAGTTGAGAAGGCTAAAGAGTTGAGTATTAATAGATTGATCATCGAGGGAGACTCAAAAACTGTGATAAAATGGTTGCAGAAAGGGGAAGGGGTGACATGGCAGCTGAAGAATGAATTCCTAAGATTTAAATGGTTATCAAGGGACACGACAATCCAGGTGGGATGGGTGAGGAGATCAGCCAACAGTTTGGCTGATTGCTTAGCAAAGCAAGGGGTTCAAAGAACACGTGTTTTTGGGCACATTTGTAATTCTGTCTTGGGTCAGCTTCTAAAGCTGGTTTCTTTCACTTCTTGTTGTACCATAATTTTTCTAATTAATGAAATCATAATCATTTCAGAGTTATTGATCAAAAAAAATGTAAGGAAGAACTTAAAATTTTGTCTAATCAACACATTTTCTACTACTACTACTACTACTACATTTTTGAGTTTTCTTTTCCTTCTTTTTCTTCTCATGAATATGTTGATTTTCTATACTTTAACATGAACTCTATACTTTTCTTATGAAAAATTATGAATAATTATTAAGGAAATATGGTTATGGTACCTAGGGAACTACCCTAGGATCTACGTTTTCTACACAAAAAAAAAAAATCCATCACCTAGGTGACTCGGAGAAAGGCACCTCCCTGTCACCTAGCCTTGCCTTGGTGCCTTGAAAACACAGATATCAAGTTTGTCACTCTATTTGCAATCAAAATTTGGAGTATCAAAACTTAATTTAGTTTTAATGACATTAAAAAATTGGCTTGATTTTAGTGATGTTAAAAAGTTCATTAAATTATCAAACAAGGCCAAGATGACAAAATTTGGACATGAATTGAGCAAGTTATGGCTGAGTTACAGACAGCCAATGGATTTGTGATGGGATTTCTAGTTATGGGACTATTTGAGTTTTTCAATTAATAATGGTTTTAGGAGTTATTTTGGTGGGTATTGGTTTTAGAAATTGTTTCTATACTAGAAATTTGTCCCAAACTATCAATGAGTCTCAAACTTTTTAAAAGTTCTAGTTACTCCAAGTGTGAATTAGAGTGTGATTAACGGTCATTAGATTTAGGAAATTAATCTATAAAAATGTTATAAATTTGAAATGGGTACAAGATCAGCCACTGGGGTATCTGCAACTCTGGCAAAACAAGGACAAAATCAGGGAAAAATTTTTGGGATCAAGTGGAATAGTGTTCTAACAGCAAGGGCACTGTGTATGTTGATACAGGTGGCCTCCGTAGCTATAACCAAAAAAAAAGTCCTTAGAAGGTCCATATTGTTGCTCTAAAAGAGGAGGAAAATGAAACAGAATTTTGCGTTTGGCTTAGATTTCATTGATGTTGAGGCTAAGTTTCCTTGATGGTGATGATTCCTTCAAGAAACTGTCAGGTGCTGATTCCTAAAGAATCTTAGGTGTTGATTCCTATGTTATTTTTACTCTTGTTTTCTTATTTTGTAGGTCCATCATGCATCAAGTTAAGATTTGGATAAGGAGAAAAATAAATTGATGATACAAGAAAAATTAGCATGATTCAAAGATGATAATAAGCTATGATACTCAGATACCTGTATGTTGTTGTTATATTGTTTTGGGGACTTGGATTTTTAGTATAAATTTCATGTCTTAACTGGATTGCGATACGTCAATCCAATCCATAGGGGAACTAAACCATTTTGGTCAGTTATGAGTGTCACAGCCAAGACATCAATATTTCTGCCAACGTATGACACAGGGAAACTGAATTGGTGATGATAACAATAACAGATAAATAATTAGCTAGGAAGCAATCAAATAGACAAAACCCTACCTATTGTGGCCATAAAATTAGTAAATCACAAGTCAAGACATAAATAGTTGTTTCACCAACCTTCTCTGTCAGAGGCCGTTTAGGAGGCTTGTAACTCTTCTGCAACAGGAGGAAAACTATAACTATCACAAGAAGAGCTTCCACAACCAGATGCCCTTCAACCAGAGGGTAGAACAAAGTCAACACGTGGAACAATTAAAAGTAAAATGATCAGATGAATACTTTCAGGTGAAAAGATATGGAAACCTACCACCAATATGAACACCAAAAACAACAGCCCGAGAAGGAGGAGCATCAAATGCCCAATCTAATGATATGTTCATTATATTTAGAAAAGAAAGCGCCATTGCTTCCAACTTAATGTGATAACATGCAAATTTTCAGCCTTAAATCATACAGAGAATACGTTGCAGATCTGGTGAACAGATGAAGATCAATATGCTCCAAGCACCCACTCTTGGGGGAATCGATAGTGTCTGACTACGTAATTACAGCTGCTTCAGAATATATCCTGCTAGCATGTCCAAAATCAGTTGAATTTGAGATTCAGCTGGTAGGCATTGCAATCAGCATGCAATTTTTGCTCAATAGCCTATTCATTCAACAGCAGAAAAGAATATAAAGAATGTCAATGAATAAGAATTAAACACGTATTACTGGATAAGAAAACCGATATTATGTCAAGAACCTAAGAATATGAATATCAATGTATCACTTTGCATGAAATTTCATATAAAATTATTCATGCATATAATCTATCAATTTGTAACTCCTAGATACAGCACATTTTGGACTTCAGGCAGGAAGTCACTAGGTTGGGTAACCTAGGAAAAAAGGCAGCCACCCAGATCACATTTTTTGAGACAAGGTAAGGTAAAAAATTATATTTTTTTGATATATGTAAGATAAAAATTATACTAAGAAAACAAAACATGTGCAACAAGATGATGTACACAGGGACTGATCAAAAAACTGCCCTAGCAGCATTATACCCCCCACCCTGCTTTACAAATAAATTTCCATAAATAAAAACTACTGGACAGTTAATAAACTTAAAAGAAAATGAAACTTTCCAGTTATGCTTCTGATTTTTTTTATTTTTTTACACTTACACTCAAAAGAAAACAAAACTTTCCAGTTATGCTTCTGATTTTTTATTTTTTTACACTTACACTGGGGTTTCCAAAAAAAGGGTTTTTTTTTATCAGCAACACAAATTTGATTCATTAGAATAAAAAAGCATATACAACAAGAAGTTGTGGGCAAAAATAAACAAAAATCCCAAAAGAGATTATCCCACTAATTACAAAACAGCCCAGAACATAGATTGTCTTTAAACTAATTGTTTAGCTAGACCATCAGCCAAGCTGTTAGCTTATCTCCTAATCCATCTTATTTGAATCAACATGTCTTTAGATGTCTGCTTGAAGCACCTGAACTCATTCTTTAGCTTCCATCTTATTCCTTCCGCCTTCTTCAGACAATTCACAACAATTTTTTAATTCCCTTCAATAATCAGCCTGTGAATCCCCATTTCTTTAGTTTTTCCCACTCCATACACTGCTGCCATCAGTTCCAATCTCACCACATCACCATGCAGAACAGGACCTGAGTACATGACTAGAATATTTCCATTCTCTTCCCTTATTATCCCACCATACCTGATGGGCCAGGATTTCCCAAACAGCTGCCATCAAAATTTAATTTCTTCCACCCAGCAGCTGGAGGAGACCAGATCTCATTGACTCAAGGTCTTCTAGATGCAGTATTAGCAATTGTTCCCCATTATCTGAAGAAATCTTCTATCTTAAAATCAGCAAAAGAAGGGGTTTGTGCATATAATTTTTGAAAACGGCTAACAACTATGATTTTTTTTGATAAGTCAACTATGAATTTTGGCCTATATGTTCTGTAGGTCTTTTTTATCTTGATATTTTAGAATCTACTTGCTATCCTTTTATTTCCAGAAGGACCAGAACAGGAACAGAGGTGCTATAAACTGACTAATAACCATCTTCCAGTTTGCTATCAAAATTGACATGATTATTCATGGTGACTCAATAAATTAGGCCTTTATCTTCATTGATGGAATGCCATGGATTACCTCCATAAGACATCTAGTGGACATATCCCAGGAAAATTTTCTACAGCCTCATATCTCCATATGAATCTTAAGCTAAAAAAGCCTTTCTTAGCAGGCTAGACTCCAAGGATTTCCCATATCCAGCTGTTATCAAAATCTTTTCCAAAAGTGTTTGGTTTACAACTGATCTCCACAAGATGTTCTCAGCTTGAACGTCAGCCCCTAAATGATGCCATTGCAAGGGTAAAAAACCAATCAAGTATGGGACAGCTGGACTGAATGGAGAGTTCACTTGTACTACTGGAGTCCTAGTTTCTTTCTTTTCTTTTTTCAATTGATTACTACTGGCAACTTTTCAACTGCAATGCAGTATGTTCATTGTATTCAACCAGAGTCCTGATTATTTTCTATAGGCTGTCCAAATGCTGCTCATATTATCAACCAAATTGACTGGAAAAACATACACAATCCAAAAGCTTGATAGTGTTGGGAGTCTGGCTGCTCTTAGGTTGGAATTAGGTTGCTTTATTGCACTGTGACTGAGATGTGAATTCTGTCAAATTGTGATCTGGATTAACTTTACAGACTCCAGAGATAGGCTCCATGAATTTCCCTATTTCTACAAGCTCTTCATGGTGCTGCAGAAGGTAATTGTGAAATCCTGACTGCCTATTCTTTTGACTATAGAGAAAATAAGAGAATTTAAGTTATTATCCTCAAATCATTAAAGCACAATAGAAACTCTTTAAATGTGGAGTTGGAGTACGACGAAATTAATTGTAAAGATTCATTTTTTTAGGACAATGTTGTTAACTAAGTAATGGTTATGGTTCATTCCAAACTGTTAATCATTTATAAATGGATGGATTGAAGGATCTTCCAAAATGAACCAACAGTGTTCGAAGATAATGTTGGTTGTATTGTGTCAGGCACCACAGGAAAATAAAAATCGAGGTTCTACTCGATCATTTAAGTTCTTAATTCTATGGGGAACGGGAGATAATATAAGGAGTCATTTTGACATAGTTGTTCTCTTCTTGTTCGTATCTAAGTTCTACACTAGAAGCAATCAAGCACAAATGCAGGAATCCGTTCTTAATACTGACGGCATACTGCAAAGGCATATTCGTAGTACAGGTGGTCATGGATGCTTGGCCTCTGCCACATAAGAACTCTTATAGCCGATTCATTGAATACTATGAAACAATAATTAGTTCAACAAACTAAAAACACTACAGTACGGCAAATTAAAGTTCAACGAGAAAGATAGAACGACTAAGTCCTCCAAGTTCTATATAGGAAATTATGGTATAAAAATCCTTCTCATGTCTTTCCATGCTTCAGAAGTAATTTGTTTTAAGCCATCAAGTTTTCTTTTTTTTTCTTTTTTCTTGTTTAGCGAAACTTCAAAATCAAATCATTTCACTCCAAAAATCAAGCAAACCTTAAGACAGAGGTGGATTCAATTGGAAATCTTACAACAGAACTGAGAAATCACACTAGATCAACATACCTCAAAACGAACTCTCAGATCCAAAGCCTTGAACCGAGGCTGTAAAATGAAAATAATGAACACATGCACACAGACAGCTGTATTTTAAACCCTAAAACGCAATGACAAAAAGGAAAAAAAGAAACCCTAGATTGTTGACAAAACCGTCCACAGAAGATGAAGAAATGCAATAATAGATGGATGGAAGATAACTTACAGGGAGGTTGGACTGATGAATGAATATTGAATGGACAACAGCTAAAATAAGAGGATAAAAGAAGAACAGCTGCACATCAGCGCAGCACATGCAAGAGGAAGGGGGAAAAACGAGAAAAATCTCTAAGTTGACGTTCAAACTCTAATTAAGCTTCACAATTAATAAAATAATTTTATAAAATACGAGAAATACCAATCCCAGCTAGCAAATGGGCCAATAGGTAATAGCAATGCAAAGCGGTCAAGCCCACCATGCGTAGGGGATTTCGCGCATTTTTCTTTAGTTTTACACGTCATCATCTAGGATTTTTTAGTGTTTTTTATCAGTCAGCCAGCGGATCGAATTGAATTCGGAATTTCGGATTTGGATACTATCCGACTCGATTCGATAAAAAATCCGTCATCCATCTCTTAAATTTTAGCCCCGTTTGGAGAATTGGGATCTATTCCTCACACACACCCATATCCCACTATGTATTGGAAACATCTCCCATGAAAAATAACAAATAAGATGTACAGCTGGAACATGCTGTGAGGTCGGTGTGAGGAGAGTCGGGCTCCACCCCTATTTCTTTTGTTATTTATGGGGAGATGTTGCCAATATACGATGAATTGGGATCTGTTTTTCACACCGACCTCACATGCACATCTCACCATGCATTGAGAACATCTCCTGTGAATAATAATGTAATAAGTACGGGAGATGTTCCCAATATATGGTAAGATGTGTTTGTGAGGTCAGTGTGAGGCTCCCTGTGTGAGGAGCAGATCCAGTCTCATATACGGTGGGATGAGAGTGTGAGGTGCATTCTCTAAGAAGCAAATCCCAATTCCTTTTTAAGTACTTATTTTGAGTCAAGCCCATACAATAAGCACAAATGTGCAATTGTGCATTGAGAAAAGAAAACCAAATAAGTGCTTATTTTAGAAAATAAGTCCGTTTTGAAGCTTATTTTTAAGTGCTTATTGCATTTCTGACCCATCTTGACCTGATACATAATTTTCAAAATACATATGCTACCCGCATTTGAAAGAATACTTTTTCACCAAACACTAATAGAGAACTTATTTAGATAAACGCTTGTTATTAAGTATTTGGGCTCTATTTGGTTTGTGGGAATAGGGGTATGTAATTGGAATTGAAATGGGCTATGCCAATTCCAACTATTTGGATGAGCGGAATCAGAATCCCATTCCCATTCTTGTTGGAATGGAATTCCCCCATTTGAGGGAATTGCCATTCCCTACCCCTCCCTTGGGAATAAAATCTCATTCATGTTGATTTCAATTCTCATTCCCATTCCTATATAAACCAAACAGACTGTGGGAATAGACCATTCTAATTCTGATTCCGATTGTGAACCAAATGGATCCTTATTTATCCAATAAGCACTCCAAAAAAGGACTTAATCTAATGTGACACATGAAAAACAAAAACAAAATGAAATGAAATCAAAACTGGATAATGATGATAGAGAGAGAGAGAAGGGCGGAGAAGAGATAATCACATCTCAAATGAACTGAACAACATGAACCTTGAAGGTTGGGCTTGAGAATTGTGGATTTCTAATCTTAGTTCGTTGTTCAATCTCTCGACTTCCAACCTCAAACCTTTCATCCCTATGCAAATTTTAGAATCTCCACTTACATCCAATCAATTGTTATCATAAAAGAGGTGACCAATCAAGTGGTGTTCATCACAATTCACATAAGTGATTTAATTGATCAAAACTCTTATGGTATTATGTCTTTTTGGTATTATAGAATCATGAAAGACAAAAAAGAGAAATGGTCTTTGGGTTTATTAGGTTTTTTAAATGCACTTAGACATTTATGGGTAAAAATGTATTTAGATATTTTTAAATCATAAAAAAAAGAGCAAAATTCATTAATCCATACTATCTATACTATACATAAAAGTGTGGTTGGAATGTGAAACTTTTTTGGACTAAAATTACCTTTTATTTCTTTGTTTGAGAAAGGGTATAAAAGTCATTTTATTATAGCTTTAATTCCAACTTTAATGGCTACAAAAATGGCCATACTTATGTATTTAGTCAATCTCTAACTGTAATGGTTGAAAATGTAACTTCAATTATTACTTTCCACATCATTTAATCATCTCTCACTAAGTCTTATTAAATCTCATTTTCTCTTATTAAATCATATATTTAAGTTATTTTCACTAACAAATTCTACTAATTAGATCTATGCCAATATTTTTAACAATAAAAACCCATATATTTTAAAATTTACTCAAAAACAAAACCATTATTTATCCAAGTGGTGGTTACATAATTCAACTATCTGAATCAAATTGATCAACCTATGAAGTTATAGTTAGGTAATAAAATTTTTAAAATAGAAATAAATATAAAAAATTCAAAAATATAGAAAACATTAGACACATTTATTTAATTTTATTAATCAAATTAAAAAAATAAGTATAATAAACAAGAACTGTTTTCATTGATAATGAAAATGAAATACATAATTTAGAAATGGCAAAAAAAATATAAAAATTAATAATAAATAGTTCAACTTTTGGGTTAAATGTGTTAACCTTTAATGTCATAAATAAATAATAAAATTTACTAAAATATAAAAATATAAAAATGAAAAATACATAAATTTTGAAAAAAAAACATTCAGGCACATGTATAATATCATATATTTATCATATTAAATAAAAAGTAAGTGTAATATATTAGAATTATTTTTACACACAATAATACAAAAATATTATTGAAAAAAATTGAACACATCTATAATTCTATATTTATATTACTATTAAAAATATGAATAAGATTGTGGAACATTCTTTTGACTAAAAATACTCATTTTTTGATTTAGTCCTAATTTATTTATAAGGTTTAAATTGTAAATTGAACTATAACTTTTCACCTCATTCAATTCCCTCCATTTAAATCTTACATTTGTTTTGATAAACGAACATAGAAAAGATACACAAAAAAGATAAAACATTAAAAAAAAAAAATATAAGTCTAGTCAAACAGGTAGGCCTGTCAATGATACTTGAAACTTCACTACTCGATCCAATTATCACATATTTGAATGAGGTGTTTATGTAATCAATTTTGAATTTTGCAATATGCATCTGATTAATAATAAAAAACTAAAAATTAAAAAAAATACATAAATTTTATAGAAAATTTTTGATATATTATTACTATCATTATCATCATCTAGAATTGCCATGTGCAAAGCACGTTGTCAAGGGGTGGCACAATGGGGTGCTTGGCTAGAGGTTTTCTAGATGTTTCCTAAGGCTTCTTGCCAATTCTGTAGGTTTCTGGGCTGTTCTAGAGCATTCCGGGTAGGGATGGCAATTTCACGGTAATTTTCGGGTATCCGATCCGACCCTAATAGGACCTATTTATCAAAACCCTATAGGGTTTGGGACGGGTTTAGGATTTTAGACTAAAACCCTATAGGTTTGGGCCAGGTTTGGATTTTGACAGTAGGATACCCAATACCCTATACCCGGTTTGTTTAACGCGGATACCAGTTCCCGATACCCGACTACATATATAATATAGTAAAATAATTTATAATATAATATATTAAGAAAAAATAATTAAGATTTAAGAACCTATTCAAACCGGACTATGACTTTTCGTCTTCTAACTCTTTGGGAAGTCAAAACCCAACTCCCAAGTGGCCAACCAACATGAGTAATTACAAATAGTAAATAATATAAACTATACCATTTCATTCCACCACCCTTGTGTTCTGTTAACATGCTTCCAAGTTCCAAACGAATTGTGATTGTTGCTCTTCCAAGACCAAAACTCCAAGTTTCGATTTTCAATTTTCAAGGTAAAAAAAAAAATGTAAAGACTAAAGAAAACCCAAAAGAAGAAAATCGTCTATGAGGCCGTGACTATGGACTATTGTTGGATAGATGCTGGTGTTGCACCATTGCCATCCATCATCCAAAAGAAGGAAATCGTCTGTGAGACTGTGACTGTTAACTATTGCTGGATAGACGTTGGTGTTGCACCATTGCCATCCATCGTTTTTGCCTTTTTGGCCATTTGACATAGGTAAATATTTTTTTTCTTTTTTTTTTGCTGCAAACGTATACTGAAATACAAGTATATTTTGGTCCTTGCTAGAAGTTAAAACTCCACTGTATTGTATATCTTTTGGTTTTGGACTGGACATATACTAAAATACAAGTATGTTTTAGTCATTATTAGAAGTTAAAACTCCACTGTATTGTATATCTTTTGGTTTTGGCATTTTGTTGCTTGCATATAAAATTCACGTTGTTGGATTGAGTAAGATATTCCATTGGAGGATTAAGCTTCAACAAGAGTTCTTGAAATAATGTTTCTCTTATGTCACTTAGGTTTATTTATTTTTTTGACTTAAGACTATTTTGTTTTGTTCTTTTATATGGAAGGATTCTATTAATGTTGATTCTTGTTGAATGTTGGTTGATAATGAACATTTAAGATTTTTTATGTACTTAATATTGCAATTGAAAAAAAGTCTAACTTGATCATATGATAATCGGGTGGAACGGGTTGGGACAGGTTTAATGGGTTTGGAACGGAACGGGTTTGGGAAATTGAGAGATAAAGTTAAACGGGTTTGGGATTAGAGGTGTAAAGTGTGCCTGTGGGCGGCCTGCGGGCCATCACGGACCTGCCTCCCTCCCTGATGAAAAATTTGGGGGTCGGCCCGGGTCCATGTGGGCCCGTGCCATGCCGTGTCGTGTCACGGGCCAGGTTGGCTCGTGGACCGAGCCTTGGGCCAGGTCGGGCCGTGTATTGGGCCAAAGCTACTTATTTAAAAAAATTGACAAAAAACTTAAAATTTTAATTTTATATGAATTTTGTGTATAAAATTTTGTATATATGCAATAATTAAATAAATTATTATAATAAAATTGAAAAAATATTTATTTTATTAATATATTATATACTATATACTATTATATAATTATAATATATATATATATATATATATATGGATCGTGCTGGGCTGGGCTGCAGGCTGGGCCGTGCCAGCCCGCGGGCGGAACGACCCGCTCAGTCGTGCCATGTTGTGCTGGCTTGTGGACCTAAAATCCCAGGCCAGCACGACCTGCATGGTCGTGCCGGGCCTGGCACGGCCTG